TACTGGGGAGAGGGGAGCTCACTTTCTAATGGGTGGAAGGGGGCTAACAGTCTAATTGAAGAGGGGAGCTCACAGTCCAGTGGGGTGCACAGTAGAACAGCTATGTCAGTATAGGATATATGCAATATAAAGAGGAAGGTAATCTCAGAGGAAAGGCACTAGAATTTGGATTGGCAGGGGAAAGGCCCCTTGCAGAAGGTGGGATTTGAAGCAGTCTGGAAGGAAACTCAGGAGGGAAAGGGAGGGGAGGGAGGAGGGAGAGATCATCCCAAACATGGAGGGCAGCCAGTGCAAACATCCTTAATATAGGATTTGATTTATAAGAACTGAAATGTTGGCTCAAGTTTTCAGGAAACCACTCGTTATGAAAAATGAGATGTCACGTGCACGTGCCCTGATTTCCTTCTCTGTAGGTGTGTCACCTCTTAGTTGTGCACGGTGCGCTCCCTCTCCCAGGGGCCCGGGCACGCCCGTGGCAGGGGGTGGGGGTGAGGTGGGACTGGACCCTTGACTCGCTCTAGGTCACCCGGTGGGGGAGCGCGGGCTTAGAAGCCTCGTTCTCCCTTTTCTCGCTCCCTCCCCGCGAGCCCCCAAGTCTCGCGATCTTTCCGCTTCCCGCTTTCCCTCGCAGTGGCCGCGTGCTGGGCGCTCCGCTCCACATGCTCTACGGCTCTTGGCTCACGACTTCTTCTGTCTTGCCCGCAGACGGCGCGCACAGCGTGAGCGCCCAGTGCGTGCTGCGGGTCACCATCATCACGGACGAGATGCTCACGCACAGCATCACGCTACGTCTGCTGGACATGTCGCCCGAGCGCTTCTTGTCGCCGCTGCTGGGCCTCTTCATCCGCGGCGTGGCCGCCACGCTGGCCACGCCGCCGGACCACGTGGTGGTGTTCAACGTGCAGCGGGACACGGACGCGCCGGGCGCGCACATCCTCAACGTGAGCCTGTCGGTGGGGCGGCCGCCCGGGCCTGGTGGCGGGCCGCCCTTCGTGCCCTCCGAGGACCTGCAGGAGCGCCTCTACCTGAACCGCAGCCTGCTGGCGGCCATCTCGGCGCAGCGCGTACTGCCCTTCGACGACAACATCTGCCTGCGGGAGCCCTGCGAGAACTACATGCGCTGCGTCTCCGTGCTGCGCTTCGACTCCTCGGCGCCCTTCATCGCCTCCGCCTCGGTGCTCTTCCGGCCCATCCACCCGGTGGGGGGCCTGCGCTGCCGCTGCCCGCCGGGCTTCACCGGCGACTACTGCGAGACCGAAGTGGATCTCTGCTACTCCCGGCCCTGCGGCCCCCACGGGCGCTGCCGCAGCCGCGAGGGCGGCTACACCTGCCTCTGCCAGGAGGGCTTCACAGGTGAGCGCCCGGGAGGAGCTAGGTGGGAGGGGGGATGATGCACAGCCAAAGGGGGAGGGAGCTGGCAGCCGCGGGGGAGGGGGGAGGGGACCGGGAGGGAGAGAGAATGCAGGGGTGGGGGCTAAGATGGAGGGAGGGGGATGATGCACAGCCAGAGGTGGGGCTGGGAAGGGAGGGAGAATGCACGATTGGAGGGGATTGGGAGAAAGAGGGAATGATGGTGGAGGGGGATGCTCATCTATGAGGGAAAGTGGTTTAGAATGAAGGGAGATGCCCAGCAATTGGGGGGGGGGGGCTGGGAATGAATGCTTATTGATGGGGAAGTATTGGGAGTAGAGTGATGAGTAGGGGGAGAGGGATTGGAAGTGGAAGGACATGCTCATTGATGGGGAAGTATGGGTAGTAGAGATGGCGAGAGGTGGAGGGGAGAGGTTGATAACAAAGACATTGAAGAAGGTGTTGGGAGTAAAGGGAATCCATTGATGAGAGAGGTGGGGGACAGGAAGGGAATACTGGGAATGAAAGAGGAGTTTAGTGAAGGGGAGGTGTTGAGTGATGGTGAGGCCAGCTCAGTGACGCTTGGGGCTCTCCCCAGGAGATTCAGGCTCCAGGGCAAGGAATAAGCTATGTCTATCCCTGTGTATTTGTCACTACATCTCCATGAGGAAGGTGGGGCAAGGGTTTTTATCCTGCTTACACAGTCTCACAGAGATAAAGCAGTTTGCCCTTGGTCACACAATTAGTAAGAGACAGTTCAGATCAACCTTTGTTAAATGGTTGCTGTTTGTAAGGCACCATGATTAAAGGCATACTGAAGCAGTCCCTGCCTGCAGGAGCTTACATTCAGTGGAGGTGGGAGGTGGGGAATATGATATGTACGAAGACAGATAAGGTGTAAGGTAGGGAGTGGTTGGGGCAAAGGAGATTCTGACAAGGATCTGACAAGGAATTTTTGAGAAGAGAGATCCACTTTCTGTTTAGGGGATCATGGAGGGCTTCCTGGGGGAGGTAGCACCTGAGCTAAGTCAGAGGGGAGGAAGAAGTGCTTTTTAGGCATGGAGTATGAGATGGCATGTCAAATTCAGGGACAAGTAGTGTTCCAGTTTGGCTAGAAGAAAAAGTGTTTTAATCTTCGAGGACCTTAGGTGCCAGGCTAAGGAATTTGAATTTTATCCTAGAAGCAATAGGGAGTCACTGGAGGCTTTTGAGCAGGGCAGTGACCTACCCATAAGGCACATGCCCTGGGCTTTATGAAGATTATTTTGACATCTTTGTGAAATATGGTTTGGCGAGGGGAGAGACTGGAAGAAGGAAGACCAATTAGAAGGCTGTTGAGAGTCCAAGTGAATCAGAGGTTCTGAGCTAGGGTGGTGGCTTTGTGGGAGTATAGAGAAAGGAACAGATGTGAGAGATACTGAGGAGGTAGGATAGACAGGGCTTGGCAGATGACTGGATGTGAGAGTGAAGAAGAGAGAAGCATCCAAGATTAGATGCCTGGGAGGTTGCCTGTGTGCCCCACAGATAGAAGGAAGTTTGGTAGGAAAGTGAATGTTGCTGTAGAGACTAGCCTGAAGGGAGGAAAGGGGCTAAGAATAGGGATTGTGGATTGGGAGCAGAGTTAAAGCTGGAGAGCAGGTTTAGGTGGATGAAGACCTAGGGAGAGGTGAAAGCACCTGAGATAGTGATCAGAAAGGGGAATTTGAATTTAAGATCAGAGAGGTGAAACAGCTAGGGCTGCTGGGGAAGTCTGAGGTGTGACCACTTCTGTAGGGGACTGAGGTAGAGTGAAGATGCAGGTCATGAGAATCGAGGAGGTGGATGAGCCAGGAGGCCAGGGCGTTTGAGGAGCTGTTGGTCTTAATAAGGTGAGCGCAGGAGAGACAAGCAGAGAGAGGGGAAGGCTTGGGCTAGGTACTGGACTTAAGAAAGGAAGGAGAGTGTCCCGGAGATTGGAAGGCACTGGCAGCAAGGATATGGGTGGGGGAATGAGAAAGGAAGGAGTGGAATTCAAAGAGGTCGCTTCTTGATGGAGACTGGAGGAGGATCTGGAAGTGGGAGGGGGTAGGGAAGAAGAGGTATTCTGCTTCTTTTCAACTTTTGTGAGCAAGCCGCCAGCAATGGAGAAAGTTGTAAAGGATCGTGTGTCTTCAAAGGAAAGCCAGAAGATTGGTAGATGGGAAGCACGTGAAAGGTAGAAGATAGAGAGCCTAGGCTGAAGGGGAAGGGAGGGAGAGAGGAAAGAAAGAAAGTAAAAGAGCATTTATTCAGTGCTGACTGCATGCTGGGCATTATGCTAAACATTGAGGATACAAATACAAAAAAGCAACACCACCCTGTCCTCAAGGGGCTTATATTTTTATAGTTGAAGACAATGGAGTAGGGGAAGGAGAGGACTAAGCAGGCTGGAGGTAAGTTGGGGAGAGGTAACAGGACTGAATCCTGGGGCTTATCGGGGTGAAAGATGAGAGCTTGCTGCTATTGGGCAGGAAGTGGAGGACTTGTGGAAGGGAGAGAGAATCCATGGTTCTAATCCAGATTTGTGCAAGACAGCCCCTTTGCTAGGGAGGTTTCCCAGGATCCTCTTTGGTAAACCCTGCAGGAGGGCAGGAGAGTCAGTAACGTGGTAACCAGGACAGTGGTATGACATCCTGTAACTCCAGGCAGCGTGGGGCACCTGCTTCACCCTTCCATGCCTTTTTACCGCATTGTTTCTGAAGGTCTGGGGCCTTTGGTGGAGGGTAAGGGAAGAGTGAAGGCACCCTGCAGGGGGATTTCCTTCCTTTTCAGATGCCCCAGCTGTTTTTTGTTTTGTTTTGTTTGCAAAGGTAATTTCCAACTACAGATGGAGGCCCCTCTATTACATGGAGTTGGAGGTAGGAGGGTTGATGCCAATGGGGATGGGATTTGAACCCAGTCCTCCTGATTCTGAGGTGAATGCTCTTACCATGCCACCACATGGGTGGACTTCTTCGAGTTAATTCTTCAACATTTTAATGCAGCAGGAATCAGGCTAAAAAGAGAACCCCAGGAATGGTTTAGAAGAATTTTGTCTGCTGACTGAGATGGACTTCTGGGTTGATTTTATGTGTATGAGCCTCAGGATAAGGGTTTTTTTTTTGTTCTGTTTTGTTTTGTATTAGCTGATAACCCTAGGATACTGAAAGCCCTAGAACATGTGATTTTTGAGTCACTATTAGTGATCTTTGAAAGAATGTGGAGAATGGGAGAAAGAGGGACTGCAGAAATAGAGGACAGGTAGACTAATTTCTAATAAAAAGAAAACATGGAAGCTGCACATTTTAAGTGAATCATTTTGGCAAATTCTTGGCAAACTTCTGGAAAGCATTGTTAAAGTGTTGGTTAGTTTCCATGAAGAAGCAGAAGTGATCACAAAGAACCAGCAGGGCTTTTGTCAAAAGCAAGTCACTCCACATCCATCTTTTTTCCCTTTTTTGGGGGGGGAGGGATGGGGAACTAAATTAATAGATGAAGAGAATCCTTTTAACAAAGTATGTGATAAAACATCTCATATTATTCATATGGAAAAGATGGAGAGATGTGAGTTAGATAATACAGCTGAACGGATTTGGAATTCGTTGAATGGCTAGACTGAGAGCAGTCAGCTTGGTAGGGGTCTCCATGAAGAGCCCCAGGGATCTGCGCTTGGCCCTGTGCTGTTTAACATTTTTATCAATGACTTGGATAAAGTCATTAGATTTGCAGGTGGCACAAAGCTGGGAGGGATAGCTAACACAAGGCATGACAGTGTATGGATGCAAAAAGATCTTGACAGTCTAGAGCAATGGTTCTCAGGATATGGCCTGGTGACTATTGGGCATCCCTGAGACCTTTTTGGGGTTCCTTGAACTATTTTCATAGGTCAGAACCCTTTACATAATTCATTTCTAATATAGTAAATATCAATAGTTGTAATCCCTCCATGGAGGCACCTAGGTGGCTGAGTGGATAGAGGACTGGGCCTGGAGTCAGGAATACCTGAGTTCAAATCCAGCCTCAGACATTTACTAGCTGTGTGACCCTGGGTAAGTCACTTAAAGTTTGCCTTAATCCACTGGAGGAGGAAATGGCAAACCCCTCCAGTATCTTTGCCAAGAAAACCCCATGGACAGTATTGGTGTGCTGTGTTCCACAAGATCACAAAGCGTCGCACATGAGTGAACAACTGAACAATAACATAACCCCCCTAAACAAAAGAATTAAATTTAGAGTCTTGAAACCAAAAAGTCTGAAGACTTCTTCATTAGAGCATTGAGCTGAATATAATTAGATGAAGTTTAGTAGGGATAAATAAATGTGCAGTCTTACTCTTGGGTTCAGAAATTCAGTTACAGAAATACAAAGTAGAGAAGGCATGGCTAGAAAGTGTATTGTCTGAAAGAAATCTGGGCATTATAATAGTCTGGAAAGCTGTGTATGTCAGCAATATGATTTGGCTGCCAACAAAGTTAAAGTGGTCATGGGCTTTGTTAAGAAAGGCACAGCTTTGGGGTAGCTAGGTGGTGCAATGGATAGAGTATCAGCCCTGGAGTCAGGAGGATCTGAGTTCAAATCCGGCCTCAGACACATGATACTAACTGTGTGACCCTGGGCAAGTCACTTAATCCCATTGCCTAGCCAAAAAAAAAAAAGGCACAGCTTCCAGGGCCCTCTGAGCTCTGTCGTGGATTGGATCCCATCTACAGGCTTGTGTTCAGATCTCAGCCTTCATTGTAAGAGGAATATTGATAAGCTGGCATTTCTAGAGGTGGGTGGACCCCGGAATCATGTTCCATGAGAGTAAGTTGGAAGATCTGAAGATATTTAGCTTGGGAAGGAGAAGACTCAGAGAGGACATGGTGTCTGTCCTCAGATAGCATAAAGGACTGTCATTTGAAAGAGGGATTACACTGATTTGCTTGGTTCTCCAGGACAGCATCAGGAGTAATGAGGGGACGTTGCAAAGAAACAGACATAGGTTTGATGTTCAGAAAACCTTTCTA